GATTAAAGCGATTTTTAACAATATGTCATATAAAGGTGTGAAAAAAGTGTCCCAGAACTCCCTTTTTCACCCTACTCTTTTCCAAGACCAATATATGGAATTTCATCAAGTTGGACAATCTTTAATTAGATGAAGTGTTTTAGAAGTAGTTTTATATTACTTATATTTAATTGTTCTAAATCTGTATTGTCATCATTATTAACTTCACTATCCTCTTCCTCCTCAAAATAAAATTCATTATTGATTAAATTTGATATAGGTAATCTATCTCTTTCTATAACTATTCTTTGGGCTTTATCTAATCTTTCTTGTTGTTTAAATAAATTAAAAAAATAAATTAATTTTTTGATTTTTTTTGTATATAAGCTAATTTTTTTTAGAGAATAATTAATAGTTAGCTGCAATGTATGTGCAGCACATGGAAGCCAGATAATAAAATTTCACAATTGAATGGCTTTTATCATGTTTGTGCTATTATCAGCAATGGCACATATAATTTTATTTTCTAAATTAAATTCAAAACACTTATTTTGAAGAAATTGGCATATATATTCCGCAGTATGTGGGTATGACATTTTTTTACATCACAATAATACACTACTCAGTGTCCAGTTAGGAGTTATCCAATGACAAATGACTCCAATATATTCTTGATTATTACGTGTTGTCTACAAATTAGTGGTTATTGTAGCAGTTTCGCAAGATAAGTCAATCTTCTGCTGAAGAATAGTAATGTTTTTTAAATAATTTAAAGAGATTTTATTTTTTACTATTCTAACAGAAGGTGAACAAAATTTTAAATCAACTTTTGCCATTATGTGATGAAATCCTTTTTTTTTGGTGCAGATAATGATTTATTATCAAGAAGTATCTATTTGACAACTGCTTTATTTAGTTTTTTGCACCTATTATCTTTATGCAAAGTATTGGATTGCATTATTTTAGTTATTGTAGTTTGTCAACTTTGTTGACTTTGTTGGTTTTCAGATATTAATTTTTTATTGTCTACAATTTTATACATTGTTTGTAGATATAAAATTATATTTGATATCAAGCTGTCATGAATATAATCAGTTTCACATATTTTGTCTTCTCATTTTTTTTTACTATAATATAACATACATCTTTTCTATCAATTACTTTACATATTTCTTTCTTTTTATCTTTTTTCATAACTCAATATATTGTAATGTCTGGTTTTCTGTCTTTGGAATATCTAACAGTCGCTTAGTACTCTCTTAAAGATAAACTTTCAGTATTTGGCCTATTAAATAAAAAACAAGTAAAGATAAAGAACAATATCAATGATTAAATACAAAAATCTCAAAAAATTTTATTACTAAATAATCTCATAATTCGATTACAAACCATTTTTTTAAAAGTGTCATGTATATAGTCATGTACAAATATATCCTTATTTTTGTTCCTTGAATCTGGATACATGTGTATTCTTTCAAAGCTTAAAGAAAAAGATCATATAGTAGTTATAGGAAAGAAACAGCAAGAAAAATACAAGATTAAAATCCAAGAATCTTACAATGCATATGCAATTGCTTGGATAGCTTCAAACAAATGCCTCTCATTATTCAAATAAATGACTTTGTTACAATATTTCTTCCACATATTATAGAACTTGGAACAAAGCTCATCTATATCATTTATCTCCTATTTTTGATTACAAAAAGATATTAGATTATAATTATCACAGGTCCACATGTGCTAAATACATAACAATACCACTTCATATTTATCTATTATTTCTTGAGAAACTGGTAGAGTTTGTTGCCTTGGCTGATGTATAGAAATACGACATTTTTGTTCATCATCTATATCTAAGTACAAAGTTTTTTTCATTGTTGTTAAGTCAATAAATATGATATTGTGAAGGGATCTATAATAAAAAGAATTTGTTAAATAATTAGACATCTTTAGAATGTAAATCAATCATATTCAATTATACTTACAAGATTGCCTCACTGCTTAATACAAAGTTAAAAGTTTCATCAGCTACTAATTTGTTAATTTACTAATTTAATATTTGTGAAATCCATCTAAAATATTGTAGTCCTCAATAAACCACTAAAAAGGCAAAAACAATAATCAATACAGAATTTTTTTCCTAAAACTGATGCAGATCTGTGGTTAACTTACATCCTTTTGTGAAGAATAGTCACATAGATCCTGATGTATTTTTAGATAGAGATTAAGCCAGATAAGACTTACCTAAGTAATCCATATAAGCATCCTTAACTGAGTCAGGGTTATGCTACCTGAGTAACCCAAAACATATATTATATGATATCTATATGGCAATATTATTGGACAACTATATGGAAATTTTAAATCTCTTAATGCACAGTAACTGAATAATAGCTATGTAGTCACAATTAATTTAATAGTAATTATATAATTACTATATTGTTACTATTTAGTTACTGCATATTAAGATGTTTAAGTTTCCATAAAGGAATATTACAAAAAAAAATTCATGCTTTATTTATATTTTTTCATTAAATTAGTATAGCATATTGCTGTATTTTTATAAATATGTGGTCATAACCTATTACATACTTGTGTTTAAAATTGTATTTTCGATTTTTGCCCAAAAGGAATAGATTTACTATATAAAATTTCCTACATGATTATGCCAAATAATTAAATATTTAATTTACCGCTTATCGTTATTAATGATCTCTTTAATACTGTATATCCCCAGTAAGTTTGTATTAATTACTTTTGACCAACCTATTTAAAAATTATTCGAAACCTTGCTTTGGATTTTATTCAAAGTTAAAAAACTATTAGAAAAAAATTTTAATAAGATAGTTATGTTTTTGATTGTTAGTTTGTTGCTTCTACTATTTAGTTTTGTGATTCTGTACAGTTTTTTGAAATTAGCCTATTTGGCTAATTCATGTAAACTTTTTTTAAGATTATCATATTTAATATTTGCCAAATATGGGCATCTTTTTAGCACTTTTTCTGTAAAGATGGAAAAATTCCTTGTAACAGGTTTAGTAATTTTTATTACATAGCCATTTCTGTAAAAGTCATATTTGGTAATGCTATTAATTAGAATATCAAACTAATTTAGATATGGCTTAGATCTTTATTTGGATTATGTATTTCAAAGCCAACTGAATCGCAAAAAATATAAATGCATGGCCAAGACAGTATTGGAAAAATATAATTTGCATGATATATCATGATGAGTTAAAGAAAAAATTGCTTATAAATTGTGGCGAAAGCATATAGTTCTTATTGCTGGATTATATCAACTAGCTAATACAAGAAAAATAAATATAAGAGTAAGACAATATTTGGGAAATGTGAATTAGAAAAATGGCATAAGAAATCATAATGGGTTAAAGAAAAAAAAATTATTAGTTGTGAGATTTTAATTGTTAAATTATGTATTCAAAGCCAACGGTTAATGCGAAAACATAATAGCATGTTTTTTTTTTTTTTTTTTTTGGTATTAAGGTGACCTCTTTGGTCTGGAGAACTTTTTATTAGAGTATAGACGAAGTT